CGACTCCGTGGCCGGGTCTACTCTGTCGGCGCCACCATTCGCGTCCCCATTAGTTCCATGTCCATTGACAGGCTCCGGATCTTGCGCTGTTTCCGATTCACTATCATTTTTAGCGGCTTTGCTCTTCTTGTTCGAAAACGACAGCGTGGTCTGCTTCTTGGGAGCTTCTTTAGGGTCTGAATTCGAGCCGAAAAATCGCCTGTTGTTCAAACCAATATTAGCAATCCATACATTAGGACTTACAGATGCATCCGAGGTCCATTCACACAGACGCACCCTATAGTCAACTGGGAATCCCGAACATACCCCAGGGTAGCTTGCTTCCTGCCTTTTGAATCTGCCATTTTGAGCGACGATCGCGTTGCGCTTGAACCAATGCCACTATAGGTCCTTCTCAGCTGCTGATATACTTCAAATTGCCTTGTTTGCGACGGAAGTAATGGCGAGCCTATCCGTGACAAAGTCAAGTCGCCAGTGTAGAAAGGCGACTCAAATTGCGAAGGCGCCGGAGCAGGTCTCCTGTAAGGATATCGTAACAGTGGCGCAAGAAACGCTGAAGGGCGATTAGCGGGCATAGACGTTATCTCAAACGTCCCTCATCCTAAACTGGCAATGTAGCGTTTTATATGCACGAGAGTCGAGTTCCGAAAATCAGGCACCCAAGTCGACATCTACTGCTGCCTTCACGGAGCCTTCCATTGCTTAAACGGGAACGCGACGTGACGTGACGCGAGATCCATTAAGGTCACGTGATCAACTGTAGCAGGCAAGACCAACGCCACTTGCAGGTAGTATCAAAGGCAACACGAGGACAGACTGTCAAGATTTAAGGACCTGTATAGCTTTGAAACTTTCTGTGTAAAGGAGACCAATATGATCTGTTGAAAGCGCAGCGAAGAGCTACAGTCAAACATTGCAAACACCCACAATACACCGCCTTATATCATTGGCAGAATGTGGGGGCGAAGGCGGCGAGAAACTATCGACAATGGCCTGGTCTGTAAGGCAGCATCGGCCATCTTCGGATTTCCAGCATTTGGCCCGAAGTCGTGCATCTTCCATATCTGGGTTGCATATCAGATGGCTGTCAAGCGATTGAATGCACGTCTAGATTGATAGCATCTCTAATCATACCAATGGAGATCTCTAGACAGGAAGCTTTCAGCAAGGTTTGTAGTGTACTTTATGGCATCAAGTTGCTTGCTAATGAATAGAAGCTTAAACCACCATGTGTTGAGCTCAGCTCGGTGGGCCTGCGATTCCGTGGGCGACAAGCAACTCCAAACGATGTCTTTCGAGCCCTCCAACCGGTGTACAACGTACTGGACGACCTTGCTCGTAAAGACGCTTTAGATGAGAAGTTAGCAGAATATGCATTCTTCCCGCTATGTCACATCTTCAATGAAACCCAAAGGTCTCCTGTCAACTGCTTGGAACTTTCCGTCAAGTGCCTGCGCATCCTTGTTGAAAAAGGATGGGGAAGGCGCTTGTCGCCACAGATGGGCAAGCAGCTCATCATTCTGTTAACCTTGATCGTGGGTGGCACGCCGAATAAATCAGGTGAAACCAATTCAACACAGACTCGGTCACCAGAGCTCGCCATTGCGGGGTTCAACTGTCTTCTCACTATCTTCAATGTTCTAGATGGACCTGTTGCTAAGCAGACTATTTACCATGAAGTCGGCACTGCAACTATTGTTGACCAGATGGTCTATCTTATGCTCGAGGGTGCCGCAGATGAGGGGTCAGACGAACTCTGCATTTCGGCAGCCAAAGCGCTTCAAGCACTCTTTCAGCGTATCACAGATCGAGTAGTGCTCGCAAGTATTATGCCACGGACGGTCTCAACTTTGACAAAGATCATAAAGCCGTCTACTCAGGTCCGGCGATCATATAAGCTTCTGTCGGTCTGCTTACAAATTTTTAACTACCTCCTGAGGACGGTACTGAACGATCAAGTTTCCAAAAGTTCAGAGAAGTCAGCCCCTTCCCAAAACTCAGATGATCAGCTGGTTCTTGATGCCTCTTGGCTCAAAGCTACTGCTACACAAATCAAACTTGCTCTTGCAAATGTTACCCAAGTAAGGCGGCATGACCGGCCCGAGGTGCAGACAGCACTGTTGGAACTCTGCTTGATGATAGTAGAAGACTGCCAGGAAACATTACAGGAGGCACTACCCATCATTATTGAGACTGTTGTTGTATTGTCGAACGTGGATGAAAACCAGGTGCCGAATGAAGCATTCGTTGCACTTAGACATCATGCCACCACTTATCCAGCCGTGATTGACTCTTTGAAGAACTCTCTTCATACGTGGGTCACTGCCTTTCCGAGGACCATGCAGAGCAACGACGAAACGGCGAAGCAGTGGGCTGTTAAGCAGATATCAACTGCCTTTCAAGTTTTGTCGCAGGTACAATCCGGTTCTGATCTCCTTGCAGCTAGCCTAGCGTCAGGCATTTGCGACAGTGTGGCCGCATCTCTGAACAGTTCGACAAATGCTCTCCAGCCTCTCAGTTCTGATGTTGCTAACAGCCAGACTCTGGAAGTTCTCAATCATGGGGTTAAATCGGTCTCGTTTCCTCCGGTCATTTTCGAGCACAGAAGCCAGCAACAAACGCTGGATGATTTGCAATCCATGATTATCAGACTCAACGCATCGGAGTCTGGCAGCGAGATCACACGTCTGATTGTCAATCGAGTTCACCAAGAGAGGGGAAATGCTCTTATTGCACCTCTCTGGCTGGGGCTCACGTTCTTAAAGAGCAACACGCAACTCACATCTATATTTGATGATCTCATCTCCACGGATGAGCTCGAACCTTCAGGTCAACGTTTGTCACGATCTGGCATGATTGAAGAATTATACTATGTCTCATTACCCATACTCAACGAACCATTAGTTGACGAGTCTAGGGACTGGCGGGTACAGGCACTTGCGCTAGAAGCCGTTGCCCTTCAGGCCCAGCAGCTCGGGGAGGCCTTTCGCCCAGAGTTGATGGACGCATTATACCCCGTCCTTCAATTACTAGCATCCAGCAACTCAAGTCTCCAAAGGCATGCTATGATGTGCCTCAACATTCTTACAACGGCCTGCAATTATGGAGATGCCAGCACAATGATTGTCGAAAACGTTGACTATCTTGTGAACTCCGTGGCCCTAAAGCTCAACACCTTTGACGTCTCACCTTACCCGCCCCAGGTCCTCCTAATGATGGTCAAGCTGTCCGGCGTACGACTCATTCCCTACCTCGACGACCTAGTGGACTCAATCTTCAGCATACTCGACATGTACCATGGCTATCCCAAACTCGTCGAGATGATGTTCCGGACTCTCGCCGCCATCGTCGAAGAAGGCACTAAAAGCCCCTCCTTCCTCGCAATCGACAACGGCAAAGCCAGCAATATTGACCACCACAAGAAGCCATACGAAAGACTACAAATCTCCACCCTCGTCCAGGACCTCAGCAATCGCAAAGCGAAGCGTGCAAAACTAACCGAAGACCTCGGAGACGTCGACGAAATCATCCCACACCCAAAAAGGCCCTGGACAAAGGACCCCGAGAACCCCAAGCAGCAAGCACCCGACTTCAACACCACCATCGACGACCTCCTCAAAGAAGAAGACGACCCAGACGAACCTCTCCCCCCACCCCGCGAAGCCGAAGACAGCGAAAAGCCTCTAAGCAAACCACACAACCTCCTTCTCCACATCATCCAATCCATCCCATCCCACCTCTCCTCCCCATCCCCCTACCTCCGCCGCTCCCTCCTCACCATCCTCATCGACGTCTTCCCCACCCTCGCCGCGCACGAAAACAGCTTCCTCCCCCTAATTAACGACCTCTGGCCCGCTGTATCCGCCCGAATCAGCTTCCCATCATCCCTGACCACCTCCCAACCAACCACAGGTCCCAAATCCACCGACCTCATCACCACCACCCTCAAACAATCCCCCACCGAATTCTCCTTCCAAGAAGAAACCTTCGTCACCACCACAGCCTGCAAAGCCATCGAAACCATGTGCAAATCCGCCGGCGATTTTATGGCCTCGCGCATCGAAACCGAATTTCCCCGCTGGGAGCGGCTCTACACGCGCGTATGGGACAGAGTCCGTCAAGACGCTGAAAAGGCCATGGAAAGACGTGCCCAACAACAACAATCCCAACAAGACACAACCACCATCACCACCATAACCCCATCAACATCAACATCACCATTCACCCCCTCCCTCTCCCTAACTACAACCGGCACCCACGGCACCCGCACATTCACCCCCCACCACGCCCTCTGGCGCGCACTAGTCCCACTATTCATCACGCTCCTCACACACGTCCGCCTACCATTATCCATCGGGGACAGGATCTGCGAGTTCCTAGCGGCATGGACAGTGCGGTATGCTGGACCGGAGTATTACTCCTCCCGGACGCGCAGCAATAAACCTACTACTCCTACTACTCAGCCAACAGAAAGTGCAAGCGCGACATCATCTTCTCTGGATGTGGAAATCGACTCAGTCGAGAATGTCATCCAGGCTATGGAGACGTGGAATGCCGATCTAACCTGGTTTATTTTCCAGGAGGAGAGGGCGGCGGTCAGGCGGGTGGTGGAGAAGAGTAAGAGGACTACTACTACTACTGCTGTGACGACAAGGGGTCAGGCTCGGGCTCCTTTGATCTGTGAGGTTGTTGAGGATGAGGAAGAGGAGACGTTGAAGGGATGGGCTATGCCGGGGACGGGGTTGAGGTTTGCGGAGGTGGCGTTTTAGGTAGATCATACATAGTAAAGAGGTTATGTGTTTGGAGTTGTGTTGGATAGTGTAGGTAAGAAAATAGAACTACTTGCGTATTTTGTGATGTCTGGTTCGGTAGTACTTGTAACGAGAGGTGGCTCCTGTTCTTCAAGGTACTCAGTCGAAGCCACGGAGATGGAGAAGTGGAAGGCGCTATTGAGTCTAGTAACAAATCTAAGGGGAAAGTCTAGGGTCTACTGGGAAAAATGACGATTAAGGCATAAATATGCAGGGCGATTGATTAGCAGCTACTTAAAACCAATGTTTTTTCTTTGAGCTTATTTCAACTTCTGGAACAAACAATAGGCAGAGCGAAACTATCACATCCGAAAAGAGCGGAGATCAGTTGGAACAAACGAAACAATCACGCGACAAAATCAATAGGTCCCGAAAATTGTCCACTGAGCAGACAGAGGGCACGGCAAGCCGAGCCACTGATCTACTCGCTGTCCTCATCGCTCTCTTCCTCACTCTCGGCGTTCTCGAGCCATTCGAGGAAGGGTTCGGCAGCCTTGCGGACCTTCTTGCTGGTCGAGATGTCGACGTACTTCTTGCTAGCCTTGGAACCCCAGGCCTTGAGGGTCTCCTCAGAGACGAGGTCGTGCTCGTAGTACTTGAGCAGGACAGCGGGGACCTGGCCGATCAGCTCAGGGTGATCCTTGCCAACGAAGCGCTCGGTTCCACCAAGGAAGGCCTTCTCGTGGCGCTCGGAGGTGATCATCTTCTTCAGCAGGGCAGCACGGGCAGGAACCTGCTTGGCGATCTTCTCATCGAAGATGGTCTGGGCCAGAACAGCAAGGGTCTTGTGCTTGTTCTCAATGCCATACTCCTTGGCCTTCATGTAGATGTCGACGTCGCTAACAGCGGTGACACCGCCCTTCTCAGATGCGGCGTTGAGAATCCAGCTGCCAAGCTCATCGTAGGCAGAGGGGCCATCGGCACCCTCGTCGTCGCCATCCTCGAGAACCAAAGAGCGCTTGAGATCATCGGGGAGCTCCTTAGCACGAGCCTTGACGGCCTCCTCCGACACGTCAACGGCCCATTCATCATCATCGATCTCCTCGGCCTCGATGTCCTTGGCACCGGCCTTGATACGGCGAGTGAGTTCGTCATCGCTGCCTGCTTCCAGGGCGACATCGTTCTCCTCATCACCGTTCTCGGAGTTGTTGCTATCTCCGGGGCTGCCATCCTTGTCGCCATTCGCGGTGTCATTCTTATCCTTGTTTCGATCACGACGGGCCTTCTTCGAGGCCTTGTCCTTCTTCCCTCCCTTGCCTTGCGCGCCGTTGCGGATGATAAAGGTGCTCAGTTTCAGACGGGAGTCGACCTCGGAGCGCTGTCCACAGGCCTTGCAGTCCAAAAAGATCTTTTCATCCTTGATGATGACATCCGTTTCCGGATTCTTGCATTTCTTGCACAGCACGAACTTGGAGATAAAGCCGTCCAGATAGTCCTGAAGCTTGGGGGCATCATGGGCACCGTTAATGATCCAGCGATCATCGGTGGGCTTGGCGTTGGCCTGAGCACCCAGCTCAAAGCCAAAGTACTTGATCACGTAAGACGGAGGGCGACTGAGCGACTGAGCGACCGAGTTCAAGTTGACGACAACGGTCTTGATACCGTTGCCCTTGCCCTCGATCTTGGACTGGAGGCGCTCCATCTTGTAACGGTAGAAGGGATCGGAGACATCCCGACGAATGTTGACAGTGGCCATGATGACGGTTGGTTGATTGGTGAAATCTTCAAGAGACTAAGCGAGATGGTTATATGAAGAAGAAGCGGGAGGGATTCTGGACCAGGAATATCTTGACAAAACAAGACATGCGTGGAATATTCCTAATTTTGGTGGAATGATGGCGGTTGTTGAGATCGAAATTTTTTTCAGTTGAGTCGAATGATGGACACAGCGAATACGGCAGCCCTTAGCTTTCAGCCACAGGACTTCGAATGTATACTACAAGGTTTCGACGTGAAGCGAAACGATTGCAGCTTGAGCGGCAGGTGGTGATCGAGATCTCTGACGCAGGACGAATACATAGACAAGTTCTCGACCGACTCTGTTTTTTCAGTGGCTTTCTCCGGCAGGAAGAGAGAGAAACCAACGGGTGGTTCTTCTGTTGAAAAGGAAAGCAAGACGATCCGGTCAGCTTCGTAATACTGATGGGGGCCTGACAGCAGGGGCCGGAGGGGGGAAGCGAAGGGAACTAACCAGAGTGGTTTGAGCGTGAACAAAACGTGTGGGAAACCAGCAGGCGAAAGTGGTAGCCTGGCGGAAAGAGCTTTTAATACGCAAGAGCGTTGCAAAGCTGATGAGGTAGTGATGAGAAAAACCTGAAAGGTGGATGAGTTGGAAAGTGGGTGGAAGAGGGAAAGAAGAGAAGAAGAAGAAGAGAAGAGAGGGAGAAAAGAAGGAAAGAAAGGGAAGTGAAAGCCCAAACAAAAAAAGGGAAAAGTCCGAGCCGATTTGCTAAGGCTCCCAACCAGTAAAATTCGGAAAAGACGGCGAGTGCAAAAAAGAAGGAAAAAATGCGCGCGTCTGAGTCAGCCGAGGCATCTTCAGGCGCCACTTTCATTAAGAGGAGTCTCATATTGTTCGACGGAAATAATACTATCTCCATATTAATTGTCTCGGTCTTTTTTTTTTATGTCTTCCTGTCTTCGCTCGCTTCACTCGTAGTTCCCCAATTAATGTTTACTCTAACTGGACCTTCTCCTTTTCTTGGGAGAGGGTTCAGTGTCACTCGGCTTGTTCACTTGAGAAGAACCAGGTCGCACATCATTTGGCTTTGTGTCTGCTAACGGCGTACAGACAGTGCTGTCCTTCTCCAGTGGAACCCATTGGTCATTGCAAGCCCAGTGCTTCGGGTCCGACTCTTAACTAGTAGCGTGCACGGCGTTTCTTCCGTGTGTTTAGACTTTAGAGTGTAGAGACTTGCCAGACTACCTTTAAGAGTAGTACATCTGATGACTTCACCATGCTTATGCTTTCTGGTAGAGATACAATGGGATTGTCGTTGCCTGTCCGAGTTCCAAATTGTACCCCTGCATTGGCCTGTCTGCTATTTAAAACCGGATACATAGGCTTAGGCAACTATTGGGGTAACTTTCGGGTAGTCAGTGTTCTCTAGGTCGGTATTTTGGTCTGTCCTGTGCGACCGTGTGAGCCTGCACAATTCGATCATTGGTCCAGGGTGAGAAGCACGAGCAGACGCCGGCCATCGGCGGATCACTGTCGCCATCCGAAGTGGAGCCAGGAGTTTCAGCATAACACCAACTCTGCTGCATCAGTAACTTTCACAGTAGCCATGGGGTGAAGTACTTAATAATGCAGCTGGCCACTTAGCATTCCCTGATGCATCTGTAGGAGGTGCTAGCTCAAGGATACTTCTAAGTAAGTTCGTGATCAGACATATTGATCGTGAAGTATATCATCAATTTAAATCGTGAGAATGGACATTCAGCAGCAAATTTTAATGCGTTAGCACTAGTGACTAGCTCCAACGTCCTTTAGGTCGTGCATTAATATAAAAGAATTTAAGTATGGTAACATTGTGTGAGAAGACATGAAGGTAACAATTATCCTCACCCTCATAGTGTAGACAGAAGCGAGAGAACTGGGAGCAGATGATGTCGAAGGTTAGCCATGACTAACTTCGGCCGTGAAACCCCACTCTTCCCAACACCATCCAAGTCTCGCTTGCCTGTGACTCGTGGGCCTCCAATATACTGTTGTGACCATCGTGGGACTCATACTATCAGTAAATTGAATATAGCCGGTAAGTACTATTGTCTCGTCCACTAGATCCCACAAAGCTGGCAGTTCTCAGCATACTGTGTGCGTCACATGAATCTAACCAGAGCCCAACCAGTTCCCACAAAATGACTCTGGATCTCTCGGTATACCTGGTCACCGACTCAACCCCGGCTATCCTCAAGGGTCGTGACCTGTGTGCTGTCGTCGAGGAAGCTGTCAAAGGAGGTGAGTTGTTCATTGTTCCGGAATCTTTTTCACCACTGACGATTGGTTGTAGGTGTGACGATTGTCCAATATAGAGACAAGAAAAGTGACACGGGCGTCCAAGTAGAGACCGCCAAGAAACTGCACCAAATCACCAAGAAGTACAATGTTCCTCTGCTCATCAACGACCGTGTGGATGTCGCTCTTGCTGCTGGTGTAGAGGGTGTCCACTTGGGCCAAGATGACATGGGTATGTCTGGACTTAATCTGTCTACTCGCCGTATTCTGACTGCTCGTAGCTATCGAGGTAGCCAAGAAGCTTCTCCCCGAGAATGCCATCATCGGCATCAGTGCCTCCTCTATCGAGGAGGCGCAGAAGGCTGTTGCTGCAGGTGCCGACTACCTCGGAATCGGCACCATGTTCGCTACTCCGACGTACGACCCCAGATAGTCTTGAAGAAGTGTGCATAACTGACGAGAGCAGGAAAACCAACACCAAGTCCATCATTGGTACAGCCGGAACCCAGGCCATTCTTGAAGCCATCTCGGAGTCGGGCCGCAATGTTGGAACTGTCTCCATTGGTGGAATCAACGCTTCCAATGTCCAGCGCGTTCTCTACCAGTCCCGCGCTCCCCATAAGGCCCTGGATGGCGTTGCGATCGTCAGCGCCATCATGGCTGCAGATGACCCGAAGGCCGCGGCTGCTGATTTCGTGAAGCTCGTCTCCAGCCCTCCCCCTTTCGTCCGGAGCGAGGCTGTCACCCCTGCCCGTGAGACCTCCGCACTGCTCGAACAGGTGCCTCAGGTGGTCCAGGAAGTCGTCAAGGGCCACCCCCTGGTACACAACATGATCAACTATGTTGTGGCCAACTTTGTCGCCAATATCGCGCTATCCATGTATTTCTTCCCTGCAGCTCCCATGCAACCAATGACCTTTGCCAACGATATCTAGGGGCGCGTCGCCAATCATGTCACCGTACGGAGATGAAGCCGTCGATCTCTGCCAGTTCGACGGTGCCCTGGTCATCAACATGGGCACTCTCACAAGCGAGAGCATCCCCAACTACCTGAAAGCCCTGAAAGCATACAACGTGCGCGGCAACCCCGTAGTGTACGACCCCGTTGGCGCCGCAGCCACCAGCATCCGCCGTGGAGCCGTTACCCAGCTCATGGCCGGCGGGTACTTTGACCTCATCAAGGGCAACGAAGGCGAGATCCGTCAGGTGTATGGCAGCAGCGGCGTAACGCAGCGTGGTGTCGACAGCGGACCCAGCAACCTCGACAGCCACAAAAAGGCCCAACTGGCGCGTGATCTCGCCAGGAGAGAACGTACGTTTACTACACGAAATGACAAAAACATAGCTAACCCCAGTAGACAACATTGTCCTCCTCACCGGCGCCACCGACTATCTCAGCGACGGAGAGCGCGTCGTCGCGGTCTCTAATGGCCATGAGCTTCTCGGCCAAGTGACAGGCGTAAGTCTCCACCACCAACCAATTACAGACAGCATGCTAACAAAGAAACCCAGACCGGCTGTGCCGTAGGCACCGTCTCGGGTGCCTTCTTGACCACTTACCCCAAGGACAAATTCCTCGCCGTGCTTTCAGGGATCCTGATGTACGAGATTGCCGCCGAGAACGCGGCATCCAAGGACACCGTAAAGGGACCGGGCAGCTTCGTACCGGCGTTCCTGGACGAGCTGTATGCCATCCGCCAAGCAGCTCTAAAAGGCGACCACAGCTGGTTCGCCGGACGTGCAAAGGTGGAAGAGATACAGCTGTAATTGGGAACGATTTGGATAAAAGAATTTAGAACTGATTTATTATTATAGACTTGGATAATCAAAAGCAGTTGCCACCACTTACTCCCTGATAATAAGCTGTATAAAATACCTGCCTGATAACCTAGGCACCAACTTCCCCGCACCTGACCTCCAATTCTCCTTGTCTTCCCCGCTTCTCCTATCTATCTCATCTCATCTCATCACAACTAACTACATCTCCCCTCAACCAACAATTCCCAACCCATTGAACGCACACTCAAAACAAAGCAATCAAAAATGGCCTCCCTATCCCGCGTAACCCGCATCAGTAAGCCCACCACCCTACCCCCAAGCAAATCCAACTAACCAATCCACCTACCAGACAACCCAGCCCTCTTGTACGCCCTTCCACCACCTTTCCCCATTCCAACCCCCCTAACCAAAAACCAAAACCCAGTATCTGCGACCTCCAAGAGAAATTCCGGCACGCGATCTACGAATTCCCCAAAGTGTACTTCTTACCCCCTCCCTAAACCACCACCACCACCTAACCAACCCATAGTATAAGCACCACAACCAAACTCCTCCGCGCCAGCACACCCCTCAACATACCCATCTACATCACGACGCAATCGCGGGACAAACTCGGCGCTACAGTGCCCGAACTCACGTCCCACCTAACCTCGAACCCACTCGTGCGCGCCGACTTGGACAAAACTCTCTTTTCAATGATAACCCCCGAGATGGAAAGTCTCCTGCCCTCGCCTGAGAAAGGCGAAAAGGCATTGGATGTGATCATCGTAGGGATTGAGACGCATATCTGTGTGTTGCAGACGACGATGGATCTGCTGCGGAGAGGACATCGGGTGTATGTGTGCTTGGATGGGGTGAGTAGTGTGAATAAGGAGGAGAGGGGGGTTGCGGTGGCGAGGATGAGGGATGCGGGGGCGATAGTGACGACGAGTGAGAGTTTGTTGTTTGAGATGTTGGGGGATGCGGGACATGAGGGGTTTAGGGGGGTGAGTGGGTTGGTTAGGGAGATGAAGGAGGAGACGAGGGGGGCGGTGGAGGGGTTGGCTAAGATTTAAGTAGTGGGTTTATTTATTATATAGTGTGTGTGTATGCTACGAGGGAGGTATACAGTATGCGGTACGTCAATTAGACTGACTGTCTCAAGTCATGGAAAGAGATATACAAGTAACTCCCTAATTTGTTTCATTTAGGGGTC